TAATCCCATGTACTTGGGCCGCAAAAGTAGGAGGGTCACAGTACAAGGCCTGCCTGAGCAAAAGTGTGAGACCCTATCTGAAAAATAAACTAAAGCAAAAAGGAGTTGGGGGTGTGGCTTAGCAAGTACAAGACCCTGAGTTCAAGCCTAGTAATTCTTAAAAAAGGAAGAAGAAAGAGAAGGAAGAGGAGGAGGAGGAGGGGGAGAACTACCTTTATTGGTGAAAGCACTCACAAGGATTTTGTCATTATCTAACTTCTCTGAAGTTTGGTTTCCTAAACCGTCATGTAGGAGTAATACTATTTACTCTAGTACAGTGCTGTTGTAGTTAAATGCAAAGTGCTTATTTGACTTACTGACTGCCACATGGACATTCTCAATAAATGTTAGCTATTATCTTATAGATGTTATTTAAAATTGCATCCTTGGACATTAAGGCAAAGTCACATGACATGATGGGGTTTGAAGTCATGTTTATATGCTGTGTAGACTAGGCAGTTAATGCAAATAATTTCTTAGGACCTAAAGGAAAGGGATTTGCATTTAAGTTGTTTTCCTGGCATTAAGTTGATTGAGCTATTTAACATCATGGAATCTCAGTGTAGCAAACACTATGAGTGGTCCCTTTGGACTGACCATTGTACACAGGCTGACCTGCTGATTTCCTGCTGCTAGCACCCCTGATGCTCCCTGAAGCTTTCTCCATCCACCATAGACAGGTACATGATGGTCCAAATGTGCTGGAGAATTGTCTCTCTTCCCTAGTTAGCCATCCTCAGTGGGTGAGTAAATGCCACAGGTCCTTTGCCCCTTGTTAGGAAATAGTGGAGTAGTGTTCTGCCCTGTGTTTCATGTTTTCTGGTGGTATGAAACCCATTGGCCACAACTGTAACTTCTCCAGAATGCAGGATTTATTACCTTCCCTACTTTCTTTTGTACTTTCCCAGCCCCGTATTTGTGTTTAAATTCTTGTCTCAAGGTCAGCTTCTGGAGGAACTCAACTTGGATATTCAGTTTCAAGTAGGGATAGTCGCTTCTACCTTATGCTGGGCTGTTGAGAGGATCAAATGAAATGAAGGTTGTTAGGACTTTAGAACAGCACAGAGGGCTCCATTTAAATGAAGACTTATTCTTCTGCCAGTATTAAGACCCATGAGCCAGTCTAAGTTATTGCAGAATGCTAACAACTAGCGCAGGTCACCATTTTCTTATTCTGGGGCCTCTGGCATCTCAGGCTGTGCCCATCCTCCTCCAACCATCTTGTTCCCTTTCATTTTGTCCTATTTTATTTCCTCCTCCACATCTACCACTATTTGAATTTATCTTATTTCTTTATCTACATATGTCCTGTTTGCCAAGCACTGGGCTGTAAAACCAATGAGCATTAGATTCTTCAAATCTAATCTGTCAGGATTTATATCCCTAACTCCTAGAACAGAGCTTTTTACATGGAAGGAGCTCCGTAAATAACTGTTGAATAAATTGATAAAATAATCTATTTTCAGCATTCCTTTGTATAGGAAGTTGCAAAAATATGATAGTACATAGATTCCCATGAACCCTTCACCCAGCTTTCTCCAATGTGACAACGAACATAACTGTAGTACGTTATCAAATCCAGACAATTGACGATGGATCTTTTCAAAGTGAAAATTGAATCATGTCCTTGTCCTATTGCAGTCCCATGACTACCCACTTTACTTAGAATAATACGTTTCTTGTGTCCTTCAAGACTTCCTATAATCTGGCTCTTCCAAACTCTGCAGCCTCAACTCCTGACTCCCCTTGCATGTCCCAGCCCCAATATTTTTTTCTTAGCAGTCATTCAAAGAAATTGGCTAGTCTCCCACCTTAGGATCTCAGATACAGACTCTCCTCAGCCTGAATTGTTCTCTCCAGGACTGACTACTCCCTCTTCTTCATGTCTCAGCTTAAAAGTCACCTTCCCAGACAGGCTGTCACTGACCTCTGCATTCCACTCTTTCCTGTCCTTGTCCCTTGTCTATTTCCTTCATAGATTCAATCAAGATTAATTCTGATACATTTGGTTTGTTTATTTGTCTGTAGTTTGACTCTTCCAATCTTGAATGTCAGCTCCAAAGATGCCAGGGTGTGTATTTTCTTATTTCAGTATAGTTACAGGTTTGACATAAAAATTCAGGCTTAATAGGTTTGGAGTAGATTTCTATTTCAACATTTAGTTCAACCCTGTACGGACAGATCACTGAATTGACAGCTATACAGTTCATTAACCCTGTCCATGTATAACCAGGTCATTTCTTGTCACTACCCTATAAGGTGGGATTATCTGTAGTCCTGTGATATTGTACCTTGACCACTACAGTAGGTGGTTTGAAACCTTATGTTGCCTTTCCTTGGTAAGACTAATTTGAACTTCAGCTTGAAGGATATTTTCAGCTCATGCTGGAATGACCTCCCTCATACATGCACATTCCAGGGCTTCCTCAAATTCACTGTCCCCAGGAATGAGGGACAGGGCTGTTGTGATAGGACTCATGCCAATCCCTGTCTCCTAGTCCAGTGCATGGTAGATGTTAGGGTTCAAGGTTATTTCTCTGAAACTCTAGAAATGTGTTTGGTATACTGGCAAGTGACACCTGGAAATGGGGAAAAGTTGCCACCTGTATAGGGAAACCCCATTAATGAGAGTTACAGGTAGGTAGAGGAAAGCTCCACTTCCTATTTGTTTTTTTGTTTTTTTTTTTTTGACTTTCACATCATACTCTTTAATTACGTATCACTGGTGGCAGTTGCCACAATTATCTTGAAAAGAGTTCTGGTCTTGATGTCTTCTGGCTGCTCTTTCCTTCACATGATCTCTCATTACAAACACTTCCTATTTGTTGATGGAAAATCCCAGAACCATTCTGAACATTACTCAGAGATCCTGATGGAACTGAGCTCCTCCTGCTGTCACCAGCAACAGAAACATGCTGTTTTCCCTCCTCCCTTCCTGACTCATTCTCCCCAGTTCCTCACTCATGTCTCTTGAAATCACCTACCAAACAAACTGCTTGCACTCAAGTCCTTGTCTCAGGCTCTTCTTTCAGAGGAAGTCACACCCAGACAGTCCCTCCTGTGTGCTAGAAGCTACTCTAATTCATTTATAGAGCTTAACTTTTTCATCCTGATATCAATCCTTTGAAACAGTACCATTGTCCCCATGTAGAGATGGAGTAACCAAATGACTGAGAAGTATCTTGCCAAAGGCATTTGTTGACCTACCCACACCACCCTCTCACTTCCCCCATTGTTGAAAGTGGCCCCTCAGGATGTCGTTTTCTTTTGACCTCTTCCATCTCACCCTCTAAACTGCAGCCCCTGAGAACTTTCAAAATGCTAATCTCATTGTGATCCTCCTCTGCTTACAGATCCTTCAGTGCCTTCCCTTAGTTTCCTTAGACTAAAGATAGAATTCCTAATTACGGCCTCCAGGAAGCTTTCACCCATGCACCTGTCAGCAGACACATGTCCTGCATAGTACCCTTTGCTCATTATGTGCCAGAAACTGATCCCTCATGCCCCCTACCAACCACGAGAGCACTTTTCCAGGCTTTGCTCTGCCTGGGACATGCTTCCTTCTCCCTCTGTCCTTGTTAAGTCTTGTATAATATTCAGGTCTGAAGTTCCTTGACTTCTCCCTCATTAGCTCAAATCTCTCTAGAAGATGTTCTCATGGAATCCTGGGCCTCTGTTGCATACAGTGTAATTAGGGCATGATCATTTTAAGGTAGGTCTGTCCTAACAGAATGTAAGCTTCTTGATGTAGAGTATGTTTCTGCTTTTGCTCACCATTGAATCCCCAGTGACTTGAACAGTGATGGATGCATAGGAGGTGCTAGAATGGTGGAAGGACTGAATGAACAACACTGGGCTCAGACAATAAGGAAAGGGAAGAGATTGATGGCACTATATTTAACACTTGTTCTTTCATTTCTGCAGCCAGCCAGGTTCCCTCATCATAATTTTTCATTGCTCAACCAGCATTATATGCAATAACTTTATTAAGGTCAAATAGGTATCACAATACAGATTTATCCAACAGGATCAAGAAACTGGTTACAGATATCATCTAAGACACAAGGCTGTTTTGTGTTAAAATGCTTCCAACATCACAGATTACACAAAGAGTTTGTACATTGATAACTTTTATCTGGAAATGCAGAAGCTTAGTGTGTCCTTCCCATTGGTCCCTGGTGTTCCAATTGAGTTACAACAAAGAAGCAAAGATTGGCATTTTCTTGATAATGAATACATTCTGGGGAATAAGTTCATGAGATCCTTTTTGGGCTAGAGAGTGGCTCATGGAAGCCATTTTTTACTTTATGTGTTACACTCAAATCAGAATAGTAATTCTGTTGAACTGTGACTTGAAAATTTTTAATAATCGGATTGAGGAACACATTGGCTCTATAAATAAATAGGATTTAAATGTTTGGCTGGCCATGCAGTCTACAGAATATCCTTTCTAGATAAATACTTCAACACAGCAGCATCTTAAATGTTATATTTAAGTCTGCATCTCCAGTATTCTAAGAAAACACCATTCTACAAGCACAGAATTATTGGGCCTTGTTAATCAATGGTCCACAGGAAAAGAGCCACAAAACACCATAGAAAGTTACACAAATGTAAATATTTAGCTAAGTAAATAGGATAAATATTGGGCAATTACCATACACAACACTGTCTACTAATAGGGAAAAAACCCCTCAAACCTTAGTTATAATGCATTAGGAACTTGGCTAAAGCCAAAGAGACAAATTTGCAAGGTATACAAAGTAGTGAATATATTTCTTTAAACATCCAATTAACAAATTCATGGTGCAAACTGGAAACTCTTTGTAAGTATACTAAAATGTTTATTGTGTGAGAAAATGCTTACTCATGCACTAACTCATATGAACATTGATTCATCAAGTAAAAAAAATACAGAGTAATTATCTAAAGCAAATAGAGACTTGCAGTTCTACAGAATCTAAAACTAAAAAATAATACATGCATGCTGTGATACACCAAATTGTCTTCTAGGAATCATTAAAATGTCTTTTGCATCAAAATGCATAGGAAAACTCAATGCTTTCCAACTTACTTTATGCATATTACATACTAGAGACTTTAAGCTACAAAATGCTTCTACTATCTCAATACACATACAAAATGACCATAAAAGTATCTATGTATATAGCAAGGTACTCTCCAATTAGCCATCTGTGATAAATAATACATCTCCACATGTCATCTCATCTCTAAGTACCATTTATCACGACCCAGGCCTTTCTGCTTTAATGAGGACTATAGACCTCTGATTTATATTCAACATTCTCTGCATTAATAATTGATTGAAACTCTTAAAAATTCTTCTACCACTGGAATGGAAAGTGGCAAGGCAATAACCAGAAGACTGCAAATGCTATTGTATTAAATCTGATTCGTAAAGGAAGTGGGGCCAGTAGGCTGTTGGCCAAACTCATCAGAGGATGGCTCCAAACTTGCCTGCTGGCTATACCCACCACTTGATCCATAGCTATCTTGGTTGTACCCGCCTTGATTATAGCTGCTTGAGTGCTTCTCCATTGGGTCCGAAAGATACCTCTGTCCTGAGGAATGCCAGCCAGTCTCCTTGAAAACAAACCATATGTTTCCAGCCCAGAGGATAAAGTTCAAGAACCCAAAGACCTGAAGGAGAATCAGAGCAAAAAAGTTGAGTCTAGACAGAAACCTTAGACAAACTCAGGTTCAGAAAAATCCTTCACAGTACAAAAAGTCACTTTTCACTTCAATATTGAGGCTTATTTCAGTTTTTCACTTGCAAGCACTATTTGATTTAGAATATCTGGTCTCTATTGAATGCTTGTTCCATCTCAGGCACTTTAAGAATGGCTTTATATGTGCTGATTCTCCAAGTCTATGAGGACAGCACCATTATATGTTCATAGTAAAGATGTATAAACTGAAGTTCAACAAGAATACAAATCTGGTCTAAGGTTGCATGACTCAGTAAGTAGTAGAGCTGTGATTCAAACTTTTTTCTGTCTGACTTCATAGCCTTAGCCCTCAAGCCATCAGTATCTCCCAAATGAGGTACTCATCGTGTATAAGATTGTCTTCAGGTAATATAGGGTTGAATATTTTCACTTTAATAATGGTGCATTAACTTGTAAGGTTACCATCTCTTTATGGCTAGGGATATTTCTTATCCATTTTTTGTAATGATATAGAGATAATTAGTTGATTTAAAATAATACACAGATAGCACATACATGATAGCAGCTATGGAGTTTCTCAATAGCTATACTTTCTGGATCTCTCACATTCAGAAGTGAAGGTTAAAGCCAGACTGTGAATGAACTGCAGGTTTCCAAGAGGTATGAAAGGCTTTCTCAAGAACTAGATGTAAGGCTTTCTTAAAATTCTTCTACTCTCCAGAAGGGTGTCAGTGAGGCAGAGGATTGGGAGTTTGCTTCCCAAGGCCCAACTGCTTGATGGAAGCAGTTTGTTACTGGAAGAGACCCAAACCAAGTCCCTATTACATGGCTTGCCCTGCAGCCCTTTCCAAGGCTGCTTGGCTGACTTGGGAATTAGCCACAGGGAGTCTGGTTTTACAATCCATAGGAGACAGATAACAATAGTATGACATAAAGCTGTGATAACATTAAAATATATTTAGTCATAACTCTAGCATACACTGGCCAATTAAAATTAACTTAGGCAATGGCCAGAATTCTGGAGTAGGGTGCTGGGAGTCCCTTGCTGGGTCAAAATTTATCCCTTGGGTTCTGGATGGTTGGGTAGTCTGGAGTGCGTGTGTGTAGGGATTCTGGTATAATCAAGACAATGGGCCTTGAGGGTTTGGAACTGGGACACTGACTAAAGTATGTCAGTATTTCAGCAGCAGGTGGATCATAGCACCATGTGCTAACAGAATGTTAGTCTTGGGGTAATATAGAGCTTTAATTAGAGTAACCTGTGCACTGTACTTTCTCTATATGACCTTGGACAAGGCATTTTGCCCCTACACCTCAGAGCTTGTTTTTTTATATGGAATGAAGATAATATTTCTTTCCATTGGGAGGATTAAAGTGGATGTGTACAAAGTAGATGGTACTGGGCACATTTAGTAAACACTAGTAAAGTATGCACTGAATCTTGGAATCATTTTCTTTTTGGGGGGCAGTACTGGGGTTTGAAGTCAAAGCCTTATGCTTGTTGGGCAGACACTCTATCACTTAAGCCATTCCATCAGCCCTGTTTACGTTAGTTATTTTTGAGATAGGATCTCACTTTATGCCTTGGCAGGCCTAGATCATGATTCTCCTACTTGTGCTTCCCTGCACAGCTGGGATAACAGGTGCATATCATGGCACCCAGCCACTGGTTGAGATGGGGCCTCACAAACTCTTTTGCCCATGCTGGCCTTGAATCGTGATCCCCTCAATCTCTGTCTCCCAGGTAGCTGGGATTACCTGCGTGAGCAACCACACCTAGCTAATTTTCTAGAATATTTCCATGAATTATATGCTACTGATTTTTTTGCTGCTGCATAAATTGAAGTGGGCTTTGACAGTGAGGTTACATTCTTGAGAGATGACAATTGCCAAAATGGTGTTAAGTAGGCCCCCAACTATCTAATTGAAGATTGGTTTAGGGAGACCTTCCCAGCTCTCTCTTTTCCTCCCTACCTTTCTTCCTTTTTCCTGTTCCAATCTCTTTTCTTCCTTCAACATTAGTTGACAATCTTGTGCCACTAGGCTACTTGTTACAAGAGATACAAAGCTTAAATAAGGTGTAATAGTTGCTTAATCAAAATGAATTAGGCAATTACTAACATTTTTCTAATTTATACATAAGACATTTTAACCATGTGCTCAGTAACTAGGATGTACTCTCAAGGGGAGATCTTGATTGAATTGTGCCTTTGTAAGTATATATCAATAGATGGGTACAAAAATTATCAAAGAATCTTTGATATGAAGAGATGACTGTCCAAGGCTGTAATTTTATCTGTTTCCTACCTCTTGACCTCTCCTTTCCCCTTGCTGCTAGTCAGGTTTTTAAAAGGGATACTCAAGAAAACTAGACATCAGGAAAATGTAACTTAAAAGTAAGAACATAAACAGGGCATCTCAATGGGCGTATTTCAGGTGCACTAGTTTCTTATGTCCCTGTCATCACAGAGGCATCACAGTTCCCTTGGCTGACACAGTTTAGGAGTATATGAGTCCTTGAGTCTTTTCTTGCCATTTTATCTGGGAAGAATTGAGGGAAGAATTTTGATTGAAGCTCAGACATGGGAATGACAGAAAGATAGAGTCTGTGCATAGCATAGGAAAGGATTCCATCCAGCAGATGGAATGTAGAATATACAAAAAGATTGATCAAGTTTTCCTGGAGTGAAGCTTCAGAAGCAGCAGCAGACATTATGGATGAGGCAGTTATGCTCAGTGAACCTTTCATCAAAGTTAGGAGATTAAAAACATTCTTTACTCTCTTTCCCCACTTTGGGCTATATGACATTTAAAACTTAAATGCATTTTTTTTGGTGATGGTCCAGGGGTTTGAACTCAGGGCTTCTCACTGGCTTAGGGAGGTACTTTACCACTTGAGCTATAACTCCCACACTTTTTACTCTGGTTATTTTTGAGATAGGGTCTTGCTTTTTGCCCAGGCTGGCCTGGATTGTGATCTTTCTATTTTAAGTTTCCTACCATAGTTGGGATGACAGGCACATGCCACCATGCCTGGCCTTCTCCCCAATTGGCTTGGGGGTCCTATGAACATTTTTGCACAGGCAGACATTGAACCTTTATTCTCCCAATCTCAGCCTCCTAAGAATGTAGTATTACAGGCTTGAGCCACCAGTGCTTGGCTATGAGTTCATTTTTTGTAGCAGCTTTCAGTTGGCCTTTCTTGAGTCTTTGACACATTCTGGGCACCTTGTTGAATATTTTCCATGGATTATCTTACTGAATTCTTTCAACAATCTTGTTGAAAGACTATAACTTCTGTAATTATCTCCATTTTACAAATGATGAAGCTAAGTTTTAGAGAGCTGAAATAATTTGTCTATGGGAGTTGATTATCACATAGTGGTGGCAGGATTCAAACTCTGGAAGACTCACTCCTGTACTGTGCCTTTAACCATTTTGACTGGGAACAGCATTAGAAGAGCTTGGCTCTACTTCAGCTAGGCCACTGCTATAACTAAATCAGGAAACATTACCAATGTCTCTGAGCCTCAGAGACTTTGTAACATCTGCATATAGATCACCTGTCTTTCAGGGTTAATGTCAAATTACAGATGCCAAAGTGTTTTGACAAAAGTAAATTTGTTACCAGGGCAGAAAATATGATTATTATTTCCTGACCCATTTGCGTGTAGAGGTCACCTATTGTGGGGTATATCTAACACCTTCTCTAAAGCTTGCAATTGGCCTGGTAGAGTGAGCCATGTTTTCACTACACATTTTCCCTACTTCCAGCTACCGCTGATGAGACTAAAGTGGACACCTGAGTGAAGGTGGGCTAATTGAGATTCTGTCTACCAGACATTTGGAATTAGACTTGTGTCATTTTGGCATGTGTAAGCTATGTTTCTTTAAAAGGACATATAAACTTAGAAATAGTAAAGTGGTTATTTTCTGCTCTGTGTAAAAGAAAAAAATTAAATTCTAAGAGAGAATAGTGTAATAGACATTATCTTTCAACAGAAAAACACAGAGATAGTGAAAGACAGAAAAAGAGGCAAAGATAAGAGATAGAAGATAGGAACTGCCTAGTTTCTTGACTGCTTTCCAGTCCCTGGCCCTGTCATCCACCCTGGGAAGGCATATTTCTGATGTTTTTCCAATTATTTTCAGTTTTGTATAAGCTAGCTCAATATTACTTGAAGGAAGGCAAGTTTATAATTTAAAAAATTATGTTTTTGGCTAATTAGTATACTTTCCCCTGATTTTGGTAATACAAATCTGGTTTCCTTTGCAGAGCCAAAGTTTTAGTCAGTTGGCTTGAGCGCTCTCTTGGAACTTTGCAACCTGAGCAGAGAAATGCAAGGTTAGGTAAACCTTCCCAGCATTGGCACCTCAGACCATTCTTTGGTATCTGGCACCTAGAACCTTGTTTTTACTCTAGATTTTGCCATTTCTTATTTCTTCAAGTCTCATCAGGTTCATGAGCTACTTGATATTTTTCCAAGGACAACTTTTTTTTCTTGATGAAATTAGAGTCAGTTTCTCTTATTTGCAATCAAACATTTGAAAGACTGCAGACATTGATACCAGAAGTGAAGTCCAGAGAACAGACTTTAGGGATGGGAGGATCGTTTTGCCTAAGCCAGTTTGAATTGACTTTGCTGTTACGGGGAACTAAAAGACTCTTAACTGATATGGATACAAGATTATATCACCACTAGATCTGCTCCTAATATATATCACATGATTTGGTTTCAATCTATACCTCGTTTTGGTTTCAGGAGACAAAACACACTATTCATCATTCATAATTCCCATCTTTTAGTCTAAAATTTATTAGCAACATCAGAAGTAGAATTCAAAGGATCATGCCAAATGACATAGTTTATTGGGAGACTGGTTATTAAACTAATAAAGATATCAAGCAATTTAATCTTTGCTCTCTTAGATTTTGAGATCAAAGTTACAATTACTTTCATTAAATTATGTCTATGAACAAGTTATAGAGGCATCTATGTAAACCAGTGTACTCCTTCAAGTAGTCACCAGAAGGTGTGTTCAACAATAAATAAAAATTATTGTGAGCCCCTAATGCTTAGTGTATTTCCATGGTTACTGTCTCACCAAGCCAGGGTGCACAGTGGAACCATCAGGAGCAGAGTAGCAGCCCTTTCCACCTTTGTAAGTGCCTTCCCAGATTGAATTTCAGAAAGCTGTAGAAACACAGGTTAACCTTGAAGCAAAGATAAATATTTTTTAGGGTTTGCTAAAGAATGTTGTTCCTTTAGCAAACACTTCGATAAATGCTGCCTTTTGTTGCCATTATAGTTTATGTCTCTTTCAGGCACAGCTTCTTTCTTTGGAGTAACACAAGTTCGCCCACTTATAAATTTAAGAATTCAATTTAGCATCGCTACTGTCAGTTTTCCTCCTTTTCTGTAAGAACCATACACTTGATGACAATATTTGACTTTGTTCAACTAATATAGTGCATGTTTTCTGGAACCATCAAGTAACTAAACCAGGAGTTTGGAGAAGATAAAAAAAATTACCATTAACTATTGCAAGTACTTTTTCATGTCATATATTTCCTTTTGTACCCTACTAAGTCTGCATATTTATATGCAATCAATTGTGTGTATTCTAACTAGGTGCTGTTTAAATGTTTTGCTCCCAGGAAACTTTTGTGCCGTCAAATATTCCTTTTAACTTCTGGCAGACTTCAGACTTAACATTTAGGTTTTATATCTGCTCTGGCTTAGAGTTTTGACTTGACTGTCATCTAAGCTGATGCTGCTAATGTCTGCTGGGTTTTTACCAAGAACTCTGTAATTGGTGGCATTGAAGTATATGGACAATGAAAACTCAAAGGCCAAAAGATCATGCTGCCCTTGGAGTGAAATATTACCTTTTTTAGATTGCCCTAGATTTAGAGGTAGAAATTTCCAAGATGGCTTTGTAGATGTTTTCTTATTCATTGACTGGCAAACAAAGATTTGGGGAGGCCGAACATAGATAAAAATTTACTTACCACAGACGTATTCAAGCTGGACATGACGGGGCTATGGACAGCCATACATTTGTTGGATGGCTGTTTGCAAGCTGACATCAGTAACAAAACTTCCTTGGGATCTGTTGCAACTTTGACATCAGACAGTCCTTTCGCCCAAGCAGATGAACCCACCAACCACAAGAATGAAAAGACTACGGTGACAATGAAGTCCTGCAGGAACAAAGATAAAACAGGAAAGGAAAATGGGGTGAGTTCCAGACACAAATCAATTCGTTTATACAACCTCTTGGTTTGGCTTTTGCAAAAATCCCAAGATCCCTAGCATCAGGACCAGGAAAAACAAGCTGAAAAACAAATAAAAGAAAGTTGTATGAAATTGTGTTTATAATAACATAAATAATAATACATGTATTGAATGCTTCCTATGTCTCAGGAATGATGCCAAAGACTTCATAATCCTCATGTAATGATTCCTAGAACATCTCTGTGAGAGGAGTTGCACATGGAAAGCTGAGGGAATAGTTGAGATGCCACAGACAGTGATAGCTCCTGAGTCCAAGCTCTTAACTACTATGCTGTGATGAGTTCAAGAATTAGCAGATATTTGCAATTGGGTAAGGACCTTGGGGTTGGAATGTACTCACAACCTGAATTCCTCGACACAGAAGTAGGACAAGGAGTCACAGTTCAAAGCAAGCCCAGGCAAAAAGTTAGTGAGACTCCATCTCAGATTATAAGCTCATGTGTTAGCATGTACCTGTGATCCCAGTTACACAGGAAGCCTAGGTAGAAGGATTGTAGTCCAGTACAGCCCCAGGCAAAATTCATGAGAACCTATCTGAAAAATAATTTAAAGCAAAAAGAGCTAGAGGCATGGCTTAAGTGGCAGATTACCTGACTAGCAAGTGGAGGCCCTGAGTTCAAACCCCAGTATCACCCAGAATATAAAAAGACTCTTGGATGGTGGCAATATTCATTTCTTCACCCACTTGTTAATTTTTTAAAAAAAATTTCTTTTTCTTTTTTTTTTTTTGCTATTGGTCAGGACCCTGCTTGTTAATTTAACAAACCTATGTAATAGCTATTTTATGCCTGGACCTGTGTTATGTAGAAGACAATAGCTATAATGTTTTGTGCCTACTCTGAGTAAGAAGTTTTATATAAAATTAACTTTACAATAATCATGTTAGTATTTTTAATTCCATTTTAAGGTGCAGGAACTGAGCCTGGGAAGGCTTAGGTATTAAGTAGGCAACAACATAACAGACCGAATCCCATCCAGGTCTGGCTGATCTGAAACTTTCCATGCTTTGTGTCATTGCTTATCAAATAGAATCTCTATGATATAAGTGGGATGAGCCAGTTTTAGAACATTCCAAATTTCTGTTAGGCGGCTATCTATCCTTCTTTGGTGGTTCAAAGGGGGGCATTAGAAACCACATGCAAGACTTAAGCATACCAGGTTCAAATGTAGTAGGACAAATTTTCAGATTTACTGTATTTATATTTGACTACTGCAAAAATGTTATGTGTTGCTTACCTAAAATAATACAACACTCAATTCTGGAAAATGCATTGAGTAGTTTGATGCCTACTTCAGAAAAAGCTCTCTCTCTATTTTAACATGAGTCCCCATGTACTAAGTTTTCTTGGTCTGTGTTTTTCTCCCCAGAAATCTCAAACGGATATTTTCTGCCTTGCCTATGTTGTCATGTCCTATATATAGAGTGACTTTCCACTTCCGAGAACGAATGACCTGCACTGGGGGACCTCTTATACTCCAGTGATGCTGTTTGTACCTGGAGTTCTTTAGGTGTGAACTTTGTGGTGAATGTTCTGGAGGGTTTCACAAGTTACAATGGCTACATTTTCTGAGGAACCAGCCCCTTTTTATCCAGTGGTGGTTGTAAATTGTGTAACTCATTAGTTTACCTTTCCATGTTGGCTCTAGAATATTTAGGGCCAATTCATGACTTATTCTCAGAGCTTTTAGGACATGAGTAGTTTGGAGACGTTTTTCTAAAATGGTCATCCCTTTCTGCCGTACAGGTTTTGTTTGATAAGGACAAAGGAGCTCCTTTCTGCTGCCCACCTAGCAAGTAGTTTCCTTGCTTTGTTTTCTGTCCCTATCCTTCTGGCTCATTCTTGCCTTCTCATTTTTAATTAGTTCCATTCCATCTTGAGTTTTATACATACTTATAAGTTAAGTCCTTTTTGGAATAAGGAAGAGGAGTAAACAAAGAAGCAAAACAAATACAATAGCTATAGCTGTCTCACAATTAATATGATCATTTGGAATAAAGAAACTCTAGTGATTGTTTTGAATTTGAAATGGGGGAATTGTTACAAACAAACAAACCATATTGACTATGTCAAATCACAATGTTCTATTCATGTCCAATTGCTGCCTTATTTCATTCTTTATTTTTTAAGCCACACAAATTGATTATCTTATGTTTCTGGATATCGGAAGTCCAAAGTATGTGTCACGAAGCTAAAATAAAGGTATTGGTAGGCCTTTCTGTGGTCTCTAGGGGAAAATCCATTTTCCTACTTTTCCTAGTTTTTAGAGGTTGCTCACTTTCATGGGACCCTGGCCTTCCTCCATATTCAAAACAGTCTGTTTGAAGGCCAGTCTGTTCCTTCTCACATTGTGTCAGTCTGACACTAACTCACTCTTCTACTTCCCTTTATTCTTCTTTAAGGGTCCTTGTGATTATATTGGGTTCATCCAAATAATTCAAGGCATCACTATTTTAACATTACCTCATCAACAACCTTAGTTCTGTCTGTAATTTTAGTCCCTCCTTTCCATGCAACGTTTCAAGAATTAGGATGAGGGCTTCTTTGCAGAGCCATTATTCCACCTACATTGTTGGAAATGTTTTGAATCTGAGGATTAGTTGGAGGAAAATTGACATTTTCACAATGTTATATCTTCCAATTCATGAACATAAGGTCCTTATTTCATTCATTCACACACACATTCAAATAGTAAGTTTGAGTAATATGCCAAAGTTTTGAGCAAAGTCTTATGGAAGATAAAAAACATGCAAAACAAGATTCTGTATTTTTGCTATTACATATTTGTTAGGGCTCATAGTTAACCATACAATTCCAACTATGCAACAGTATCTATCATTATTTATACTCATTGTAATTAGAAACAGAGTTGTTAAAAGGCCAGTAGATAGTGGAATAGGAATAAAATTCTATGAAGACCTCTCAGTTGGAAACTGGAGAAAATTATATCAAAATTTTTAGATTTATTTGTTCAAATAATAATACCTAACATTTATTTAGCACTAAGCATTATTCTAAGTTCAATGTATTAGGTCATTTAATCCTGACAAATACCACTGTGAAATGCATGCTAATTCTGTTCTCATTTTGTGTTTGTGGAAACAGATGTGCCCAAAGTCATGAACTAGTAGGTGGAGGAGCCAGGAGTCTAAGCCCCGCCATCTGCCTCCCGGCCTGTGTGCTTGACTACTCTATAATGCTTTTCATGCCTTCTTTAAGGAATGATGATCTTCCTATTTTAAACAAGTACACTGCTAAATTTATATATGAAAAATAGTAGTGAAGCATTTTCTGTAAAGAAACTTCATGATTGATTTCAAGGATCTATGTCATTGGGTTAAATATGGTGTTTTTAGAAGGCTGATCCAACCTTTTGTCTCCTAGTACCATCTTGTAAAGCAGGACCTGTATAAATTATCCCTTAAGTGAGTTAAAAGCTCAGACTCTGTCATCAGACAGATCTGGGTTTGAATCCTTGATTTCATACATATTAACTTTGTGTCCTTAGTCAGTTTTCTAGACCACTTGAAGCCTCAGTTTGCCTCTCTGTAAATTGAGATAATGGTATCTGTTTCATGGGATGGTTGTGAAGATCAAATAAGATTTTTTTATAAGATTATAAGTAAAATGCTTATCACTGCCTGGGAAATAGCGAATATAAACTTTAATAATCACCAATAAATGCAATAATAAGATCATCAACAACAATATAAATACCATGATGATTTGGAGCAGGAACTTACACATTCAGACATCTGTCTTAAGTCATTTATGTCCATAGAAGTGGCAAGATGCAGATTTTGAACAAGGTTGTAAACGTCAACATTTATAAATGATTTAAAAATTGGAAGCCAGCTATATATCTGATGACAGGACAATGAATGTGCAACCATTAAAAATAATGCTGTAGAACATTATTTGTTGACATCCATCTACTCCCAGCACAGTGGGTAGAGTAATTCTATTTAATGTAAATTATTCACTGCTCAAAGACTGCCAATCACTCCCACCTTCCTGAGAATAAAAACCAAAGGCCATACAGAGGCTCATGAGGGACCATGAGCTGGCCTGCTCTTACTACCTGTCTGACTTCCATTCCTGCCCTGCAGCCTCATAGGCTTTCTGGCCGTTGCTTGAACCCACCAAGAACACTGGCAACCGACGGTTTTAACTGGG